CAACTTCATGCATGTATGTATAAGTTCTCCTTGACTTACAATCATTATTTTAGGGACTGCTTGCAGTTACAATGGCACCGAAAAATGCAACATAACTGGCCTTCAAACTTGTGACAATAAGTGCATCCCCATGATTACATGATCAAAACTCAAGATTGGCAACTGGCATGATTCACATTGCAGGGATGTGCTTAACCACCGTGGCAGGAAAGTCATAAAATGGGAGTGTCCAGGTTCCAAGTAACAGACCCAAACAGACCCATTTTGGGAGCATCTTCAGGGACACAACTCACTTGACATCTCCCTTGCTTAGCAACACAGATTTTGATTGTAAGTTAAGAACTAACTATATGTGTATGTATACATCTATGTCAGGGGTGGGCTGCTGGGAGTTCACAGGGATTCAGGAGAACCTCTAGCTAAGATTCTGTGCAGTTCAGAGAACCCCCAAATCCCTCTCCTGGCTGGCCCCGTCCACCCCACCCCTCCCATCCCAGGAGTCCCCATGTGGCCCTTTTAAGTGCAGGGTGTGCATGGAGACTCGGGAAGAGGGGGAAACGGGCCTACCAGAAGTTTGTGAAGGCCAAAAATGGGCCTGTTTACAGCCTCCAGAGGGCATCTGGAGCCTGGGGAGGCCATTTCCCCCCACCTGGAGGTTCAAAGAAAGCCTCCGGAGCCTGGGGAAGGCAAAAACTCCCCCCCCCCCATGGCGCAGGAGGCCAACTAGGCCANCCTGTACACACTCAGAGATACTGTTTGCCATTAAAGCCTATATTTCTCAGAGACTGGGAATCTGTACCCCAGATTAAGAAGGATTCCATGAGATCACTAATTGGATTAGTAAATAGGGTTAGGAAGCTTTTAAATAAAGGAAAATTTCTTTCAGAAAATGGAAGAGTTATCTAAACAAAACAGAATGTAAAATTCAACAGAGGAACCATAAGAAGACCAAAAAAAGCACAAAGAAGTTAAACACTGAATTGTTAAGATCAGTAACACCAGTTTAAATAATAGTAATAATTAGAAGACACACACTCTTTTTAAATAAATGGAGGTTAACTGGGTCATTATGTGACATTAGAAAAGATCATCAAGAAAAGATTAAGGAAGCATCAAAAGAACACATGATTGGGAAAAAACAGAAAAAACATAAGCAAATTATTTGCATCCTTTTCTGAAGAAGAGATACACAGATATTTGTGCCAAACAGCATTTGCATAAGATGAAGTTAACATATTAAAAACAAAGTAGATTATTGTGTCCAGATGGAATTCACCGGAGAATTATTTGAAAACTCAGATATAAAATGGATGATCATCTAAGATAACTGTGTTCTCAAGATTGGCTTCTTTGCAAAGGACTGGAAAATATCCAATTCAACACCTTTTTCACAAATGGGCCCAGGGAGTACTCAGGAAATTAGAAGCTAGGGAGCTTGGCATCTGTTCTGTATACTTTGCTGAAATAAAATTATGTTAACAAAACAAAGTTAACAATTACTACTTGTAGTGATGGCTACATGTTATCCTCAAGATTGTTGTCATCCTCAAAATCAAACGTGGGTAGCTGGTAGGCAGGGGTGGGCTGCTGGGGTTTGCAGGGGTTTAGGAGAATCTCTAGCTAAGATTTTGTGGAATTTGGAGAACCCCCAAATCACACTCCTGGGCTGCCCCCCCTGCCCCCCCCCAGGAGTCCCCATGCGGCCCATTTTGGATGCAGGTAAGTGCAGTGTGCACACAGAGGCTTTGGTGGGTGAAAAACGGGCCTATTGGAAGTTCAGGAAGGTCAGAATCGAGCCTGTTTCTGCCCTCCAGAGAGCCTCCGTAGCCTGGGGAGGCTGTTTTCGCCCTCCTGGAGGCTCAAGTAAAGCCTCCAGAGCCTGGGAAGGGAAAAAACTCCCCCCCCCCCCCCCCCCC